ACACTACCGAATGAATTCTGAAGAGACCGAAACAGGTGAAAATCTGAGGGTGAAAGGTTAGGACATAAGTTTTAAGTGCATATGTGTGCAACAAGCAGAAAACTGTTAAAGAAACAAAGAAGAAAGATGTGTGCGGGAATATCAAGAATTTGAGCATGGTTTTTGCGTCCTGAAATTACAACTTGAAAAAACACTAAAAACAAACAAAGTAGAACTTGAAATGTACGCAGCGGTCCGTTTCTCTTTTTTGATCTGAGCCATAGAATATTATAATACTGGTCTCAGCCCTACGTACTTAATACAATTAGGCGAAAGGTTTTACAAATTCAGGTTTGAAAATTCTAGATGGAGTGGCAACCTGGTAAGATATGCAGGAAGTCAATGGATGCAGGTGGCTCCGGACCGTGCTTCGTGGCATTCCATAGGGTAGAAATATGTTCAGCAGTGGACTTGTGAAGGGCTGTAATGATGATAATGGTAACGATTAAGATTTTAGATTAGCGTTACCATTACAGCCTATTAAAGTCCACTGCTAAGCATAGGTCTCCCCCTTGGATTGCCTCATGCCTTAGTTGCCATACTTGGCAAGCGGGTTGGCAACCGAAGTTATTTATTTTTAGTCGCTATCAGGAAGATGCTGCTGCCTATCTCGTGATTTATTTCCCGCTGTCGCCTCTTACGACACCCACGGGATGATATGGAGTAGTGAATATTCTTACCACTACACAACACGATGAAGTTTTTACATTGGAATATTTTAAATAATTCAGTTGGGAGGAATGGTATAGTGTGGATGCATTAGTTTTACAACTGTCTGCTTATTGTTCACGTCACGTGCGAACCACAGAATCGATTTCAATGGACTTATCTTTATATTGCTTAGTTTATATTCTCACTGAAAAGCATAATCAAGTTTTATTTCAAGCGGTTGAATAAATCGAAGGTTATTGTTTGAACTTTACATAATAGAGCCACGCTTCAGCTATATTATGGTTGTAGCAGGAATGTAGCACAACTGGGGAAATAGCAGTTTAATGCAGCTGTGTTTTGCATGCCCCGATTACAAGCCTATTAACCCTGGTGTTCCACAAGGCTGCGTGCTATCATTAACGCTGTTTCTTCTGCATATCAATGATATGTTGTAAACCGGTACTATTCACTGCTATGCGGATGACAGCACTGGTGATGATCTATACAGTGGCTGTGTCAATATTTCTCGGGAAAACGTCACTGAGTACCAGAACAAACTTGTGTCTGAAGTCGAATCTTTGCTGAACAAAGTCTCGGAACGGGGGTGACTATATCTAGTTCAGTTTAATCCTCAGAAGATACAAGTTTGAACGTTTACCGCTAAAAAGAATCCTTTGTCATATATCCTCAGTTTCAAGGCACTCCCCTTGTTGCCTCAGTCAGTATCGGAATCCTCGGTGTGAACATATCGAGTGACGTGTAGTTTCGTCGTCACTTGGAAGAGAAGGCCAAATTGACCTCTAAAAAGGTTGGCGTGCTCAGCAGAGCGGAACAGTATTTCATGCTGTCACACCGCCTGCAACTTTGCAAGGCGCAGGGTCGGCCTCACATAGAATAATTTTCCCATCTCTGGGCTGGGGCTCTTCAATGCCAGCTCCTTCCACTTGGCCGCATCCAGCGCAGAGCGGCTCGAATCGTCAACGACCGAGTCCTTTCAGATCGACTCGATTCACTGGTGCTGCAATGAGATGTTGCATCCCTTTGCATTTTTTTCCTAATCCAATCTCAGCTGCCAAATTTCACGAACGCACATCGCGGCAAAATTCCCAATACCATCCCCATCCTCTGGATGTTTGGCGGTCTACCACTGTACGTTTCACTAGGAGTTTTCTTTCGAGTACGACCTCTCTGTGGAATAGCTTATCACCGGCAATTTTTCCGGACCGATACGACTTTGAAAAGAGCTTACTCCTTTCTTAAATGCCGGTAACGCACCTGCGATTCTACTGGTGTTGAAGTTGTTCATGAACGGCAGTAGTCACTTACCATCAGGTGAACTGTATGCTCGTTTGCCCCCTCTCCTAAAAAAAATATTTGTAATATCCACTTATATTATTATTTACTGCTATTACAGCATGTTGATTACGCGAACCTATTATTTTAAGATTTTACCCTACCAAAAAAAGCCCAGCGCCCCCAAAAAAACTTTAACTCAAAAAAAAATGCGCTTGGCAACCCACTTGCCAAGCGTGGCAACTATGACGAATGTTTTGCTTTCAAAGGCTATAATGAAAGAATGAATATATTTCAGTCTAATATAATATTTATAAAAAAGAAATCAGCTTACAGTCGTATTGATTGTAAGTTTTACAACAACGTACTCCTTTTTAAAAGGCCGGCAACGCATCTGCGATTCCCTCTCTGGTGTTGCAGTTGTTCATGGTCGGCGGTAGTCACTTACCATCAGGTGAGCCGCATGCTCGTTTGCCTCCTCTCCTATAAAAAAAAACGAAAGCAAACCTCAAATTAATTTAAATTAAATTATTTTTACAACCGAATTTAATATAAATTATTAAGAATAACTCAAAAACGATTGGTCGGACCTTGATAAAATTTATATGGGACCATATGTGAAGCACCAGCTATCGAATAAAAAAAGAATCATCGAAATCGGTTCACCCAGTAAAAAGTTATGAAGTAACACACATAAAAAAAACAGTACAATTGAGTAACTGTCTCCATTTTGAAGTAGGTAGAAAACGAAGCCAACCACGATTCACACCAAAGTTACACAATCGCATAATTGTACAGTTGAATTGCTGCACAATAAAACAAAACGGTAACGCCATCACACTTGGACGCCTAATAAATTTCACTGTTATTTCTCCCCTGTATGGTTATTTTTCAAAGAGTAGCCAAATTGTAAAGTTCAAATATATAAATAGTGATATAGCTTCTACTTTTATTTGAAATTATCCCAAATTGAATATGATTTACAACAACGTTTTTGCCTACCGATCGCCTCTTACGAATGTGTGCGCACACAGTAAAATCAGTTAAAATAATGCATTGCCACGTATTTTTAATTTAAAAGATAAAAAGTACAGAGTTCAAAATTCATGATTTCAAATAATAATAACATAAAAATAAAAATACTTCATACACAACAAGTCATAACAAGTCATACATAATAATGTCATTATAGTTCCCATAATGTTTTTAATGAAGCTATTTATACCTAACATATCAGGACGAATAGTTATACGCAGTTCTTAAGATCTGATGGGGAAGTTCTGGGCGCTTATAGGATAGGATATCTAGCAGTCGTCTATTATGTGTTTATGTAAGATTTAAACTCGGTTGAAATTTTTATACCATGGTATGCACCGCTATAAATAAGCCGTGGTAGCTCAGGGGCTAATCTGTGTGTGGCGTCAAAAAACTGAAACAGGCTATGGGCAGCAGCAACCGTTTGACAACAACTGAAAATAATTAAAAAATAACGGTGGCTGTCAACTCACTTGCCAAGTGTGCAACTATGGCAAATATCTCCCCTATGAGGCTATATATGGGGGAGGCCCATGGTCAGCAGTGGACTTTTAATGGGCTGTAATGAATAAATGAATGAAATTTAAGTGCTAATATTTACAACGTGCGCGGCGTTGAGGAAAACATCGTGTGAAAACGTACATCTGAGGAATAAAGTATTTCGAGATCATGTGAAGTCCGCCAACATGCACTAGAGTAGAAAGGCGGACTAATTTCTCCATAACCTACTTAGAAAAGCCTGTATCCAACGAATGATATGTGCAGTAACTTTTATATATAAACCATAAGCTTACTTGGTTGAGCAAGTAGATGAGTTTGTGTATTTGGGTTGTGTATTTAGCACGGATGGTAGATATGATAAGGATATAGAACGACGAGTGAACGCAGGAAATAGAGTGAATGGGGCTCTACACTCTATTGTGAGAAGTCATAATGTGTCCAAAAAGGCACGTATGGCAATTCACAATGCTGTGTTAGTACCTACTTTAATGTATGGTAGTGAAAGTTGGGTGTGGCAGAAGAAGCACGATAGTAGAATAAATACTGTAGAAATGCGGTCATTAAGGAGTATGTTAGGGGTGAATCTGAATGACAGAGTAAGAAATTGTTTGATAAGAGAAGAGTGTGGTTTGCAAGATGATGTTGTGACCAGGATTAAGATAGGAATGCTTCGGTGGTTTGGTCATGTAGAAAGAATGAAAGAGGAAAGAGTGACAAAGCAAATTTATGTTGCAGAGGTGAACGGCAGAGTCGGGAAGGGACGCCCTAGGCGAAAGTTTATCGACCAAATTGGCGATATATTTAAAATGGGCCAAATCAAGAGCACCTTTGACCGACGAGCGTGTATGCGTAGGTATATGGATGTGGAGGAAGCGAGAGAGGTGTGTCAGGATCGTGCCAAATGGAAATCCATAGTCTCTGTCTACCCCTCTGGGTGACAGGCGTGAGTGTTTATGTTCTTTTCTTCATATGCTTAGTTTGCGAATTGTTGCTAAAATTTAAATCACAGCTGTACTGGGTATACTCGTGGTATACACCAATTGTTGACGACATAAATTGAAAGACTGCATACTCAACACGAAGGGATGGCGAGTTGGTGGTTATGCTGCTCCCCATGGTCTATCTGTAGGTTTAAGATCGGGCTGTCTCCCAACATTAAGAACAGTTGTATTGGACTCGCACTGACTAAAACCATAATTATGGTATTTCACTTTTGATGCATATCAGCACAGAGGGCACGCTTTCATACACATTAAAATTTTCATCAGGGCTCACCGTCATTCTTCTCAAAATTTCCATATATATTTTATTACTATGTTTGAATAGATTGGTGAATAACCTAGTAAATAAAGTACATAACATACATTGAGTGTATACTTTCTGAAATCAATAATTAAATTAAATAACATTAAAACATTTTGCACTGTTTTCTGCACTGAGTGATTCTGCACTAACATATATTTCTCTTCTACGCCATCTAGCTACGACTGGAGGCAATTGCTGCTCATCAACGAACCCGAAGCACAAGTACACGTCGCCGGCAAGTCCACTTGTCTACTCATGATGAAAACATTTGCTAACTATCTGAAGAAGGAAGATATAATTTATACACCGTGGGATACCACATCCGACGGGGGTCTCAACTATACTGAAAATTTGAAGTTCTATCTGGGCTACAAGTATACAAGTAAGTTTAAGTTTAAGTATGAGTTAAGTGTTGCGTCTTGATTTCTTTTGCGGCGCGGCGCTTCAATAAAAGGTAAGTCAAATGTACTTAAGAATTCATTACAACAATAATTATTAAGGTATTTATACTCATATTTTTAAAAAGATGTCTAAACTGTCTTGAATTCTTGGTTTTTGTCGAAGGACTTTATTCCACATAGAGTATATAAATATTGCTAATAGATGGCGTATTTATGATATAGGGCAAATACTATTTACAGCCGCCATCAATTTAATAAAGAAACGTCTTAAGTCAAACATTAAAAACTTGCGATTTTAAATATAAACATTCAAAGCCATTTTTAACAGCTAATACAAATATTGTGTTTTAATTTATTTCTGTTTAAATATATAACCACAAGATGGCGCAGTTTACAAAATTGAACTCAAACTTTGTCACTGCCATAGCTATAACCTTTTCCCCGGCTGTTATAATAGATGTCACTACGTAGTAGTTGTTTCTACTTTATGATATTTTATATCTGCAGATTTGGCTGGACCCGTGCGGTAATTCTTTACGAAACACCCGGGTATATGTTATTTGTAGGTGCTAGTGGTGGTTATTTAATGGCAAGTTCGATTCACCAGTACATGTTGTTTGAAGGAATAAATGTATATGGAAGAGAAATACAACCTCGTCAACCTTACAAAGAATTACTACTTGAAAATGTCGGTAATAATTACGCCAGTGAGTTTCGGCTTTCTTTATATTATATGGCCTAAAATATTGATAATATCACTGCAGCTGATGCTCATTAAATAAAATTATGAGTTAGGGTTGCCAATTTTTTTTAATATTTTTCCGAATAATAAGGATTAATTTCGCAAAAAATAATCCTAATCCTAAAAATAATTTACAAAACACTTTGTTAAAAGTTGAAGCAATGTCTAATTGTTAAAACTTTAGAGTAAAACATTATTATAATATGGTTTTGAATTTACAATTATATGTGCAACAATATTATGAAATAAACAAATTAAAGAGCTTTGGCAACCCTACAAATAATCAATTATACGGCGTTTTATAGCCCATATGCCTTTATCACGCAATTTATGCACGTTTTGATTTAATACCCAGCACGAGCACCGTTTGGAGTTTTAACGGAAAATTTTATATTGGTTGAAGTTTTCTGATTTGATGCTTGCAGCCAGCAATCTAGTGTTTGTAGATTGACCCTGCTGGAATTCAGTAAGGATACTTTGATTTATGGTTGCTTGCTTCTACGGCGATCGCTTGAGTTAGTGATTAGCCTGAGCTGATTGTGAACTGGCGATGTAGGAATATCCACTACGCTATATAATCTCGTGGGTGTCGTAAGAAGTGACAGGGGGATAGTGAAACAGCTGATGGACAGCAGTATTTTACCGATATCAGATCAAAATTATAAAATGAAACTGTGGTTGTCGACCTGTTTGCCATCCAACCAACTACAGCCATCCACGGCCATCCACGGGGAGGTCTATGTTCAGCAGTGGACTTTAATAGGCTATAATGGATAATGTTGAGCTGATGGTAGCATCGTTAGTTCAGAGTTCGGTTGAATATGAGGCGAAATCAATGTTTGTGCCTATCATAAATCACTGGTTTTTGGATCATGACCGTCACAGTATCTCTTATATTGTACCTATGTAATAACTTTTCCAATTAACAAACTATATGATACTCGTGTGTTTTATACGAGCTACTGTAAATGGGCGAATGCATTTTATTTTTATAATATTAAAGTTTGTCGTGTATTGGCGATGTAAGTATACATACTCTAGATCATTCCGTAGGTGTAAGACGACAATAGGGAAACTAAAACAGGAGGTGGAAAGTAGGCTATACCTGAGCTCAAAATGAAATAAAACTGGGATTGCCGACGCGTCCGCCAAGTGTGGCAACTATGACAAATGCGTCAATCTATGGTGGAATGGAATGTAGCGATCACCGAATGGTTAGAGGCACACTGAACCTAAACGTTAAGTTGGAGAGGTCTCGTCTGATGAAGTCAACGCTCCGTCCCCCTCGTGCTCTGTTCCAAAGTCCCGAAACCTTTCAGCTCGAGTTACAAAACCGTTTTCAGTGCCTAGAAGACTGCAATGAAGTGGACGATATGAATGACAAGCTCGTGGAAACTGTCCATGCGGTCGGAGCTAAGTTCTGCAAGACCCGCCGCAGAAGAACACAAAAACTCTCCGATCACACTCTTAATCTCATGGCTGTTAGACGGGAGATGAAGCTACATTCTTCAACAGACTTGACAGCATACAGGCATCTGAACAGACAGATCTCCAAATGCATGCGGCGGGACTTACGCAACTTCAATACAGCTCGTATTGAAGAAGCGATCGAGCGGAACCAAGGCTCCAAAGTCTTTGCCAGAGATCTGTCTGCCAGGAAGAGCCAACTGTCAAAGCTGAAGACAGAATGTGGCAGCATCGTTTCCGGGACACCTGAGATTTTGAGTGAGATTGAGAGGTTCTATGGGCAGCTGTACACATCATCGTTGGAGCCACACGCAAGTGTGAGTAACGATCCAAGAGCGAGTCTCATCCGACACTATTCCGAAGATATCCCGGATGTCAGTCTGAGCGAGATTAGAATGGCTCTCCAGCACCTTAAAAACGGTAAGGCCCCAGGCGAGGATGGAATTACAGCGGAGCTTCTGAAAGCGGGTGGAAGACCGGTACTTGAAGTCCTTCAGAAGCTCTTTAATTCCGTCCTCCATGGTGGAATTACACCGGAGGCGTGGAGCAGAAGTGCGGTGGTCTTGTTCTTCAAGAAAGGTGACAACGCTCTCTTGAAGAACTACAGACCGATTTCCCTTCTGAGCCGCGTCTACGTGCTGTTTTCGAGAGTCATTACGAATCGTCTCGCGCGCAGACTTGACGACTTCCAGCCTCCCGAACAAGCCGGTTTCCGAAAGGGCTTTAGCACCATAGACCACATACATACCCTTCGGCAAATTGTACAGAAGTCCGAAGAGTACAATTTGCCACAATGTCTGGCGTATGTGGACTATGAGAAAGCCTTTGATTCCGTCGAAATTTGGGCGGTGCTGCAGTCCCTTCAGCGGTGCCAAGTTGACTGTCGGTATATCGAAGTGTTGAAGTGCTTGTACAGTAGGGCTACGATGGCTATCCGAGTACAGAACCAGAGTACGAAACCTATCCAATTGCAGAGAGGTGTAAGACAGGGTGACGTCATATCCCCGAAACTCTTCACCGCTGCATTGGAAGACGTTTTCAAGCTTCTGGACTGGAAAGGATACGGTATCAACATCAATGGCGAGTACATCACTCACCTTCGATTTGCCGACGATATAGTCCTTATGGCAGAATCGCTGGAGGACCTAAGCACTATGCTCAATGACCTCAATAGTGTTTCCCAACGGATAGGTCTTAAGATGAACATGGACAAAACAAAGATCATGTTTAATGTCCATGTCACACCTATGCCGGTAGTTGTTGGGAGCACTAAGCTCGAAGTTGTTGACGAGTATGTTTACCTGGGACAAATAGTCCGACTAGGTAAGTCCAACTTCGACCGAGAGGTCAATCGACGGATTCAACTCGGCTGGGCAGCGTTCGGGAAGCTACGACACATCTTCTCGTCAGACATACCTCAAAACCTTAAAACGAAATTGTACAACCAGTGCGTGTTGCCAGTGATGACTTACGGAACTGAGACGTGGTCCTTCACTGCTGGCCGGATGAGGAAGCTCAAGGTCGCTCAGCGAGCTATGGAGAGGGCTATGCTCGGAGTTTCTCTGCGTGATAAACTTAGGAATGAGGATATCCGCAGAAGAACCAGAGTAACCGACATAGCCCAACGGATTAGTAAGCTGAAGTGGCAGTGGGCCGGCCATATAGCTCGAAGAACCGACAACCGATGGGGAAGAAAGGTTCTCGAGTGGCAGCCTCGTACCGGTAGGCGAAGTGTAGGGCGTCCCCCCACGAGATGGAGTGACGACCTGGTAAGACATGCAGGAAGTCGATGGATGCAGGTGGCTCAGGACCGTGCTTTGTGGCATTCTTTGGGGGAGGCCTATGTTCAGCAGTGGACATGTGAAGGGCTGTAATGATGATGATGATGATGGTGGAATGGAAGCCTATTCCATCGACACCTGTGATCACCTTCTTTCAAATGGTCACAATTGCGGTTTGCACTATTTTATTATTATACTGACTCCATTTCTCTAATATAAAATATTCAACGCACATCATCTATCTATACTAATCTATACTTAATATAATAAAGCGGAAGAGTTTTTTTTTTTTTGTTTGTTTAAACGCGCTAATCTCTGGAACTGCCAGTCCGATTTAAAAAAATCTTTTTGTATATAGGCAGATTCATGTGGAATAGTATAGGCTATCTATCATTAAGCTATATTACTGAGCTAGCCTTAAATTGGGATATTTGTTAAGCAAGTCAGAAGAAAAAGCACTCCCGAAATGATTTATCCGCGTACGCTGGTGTTATGGTTAGGGATACGTAAATACAAGTTCTAGAAAAATATAGATCTTTCTCCGTCTAAAAAAAAAAGGTCCGCGATACCATATGTCTATTTCTTCTACATAAGCCATGATTAGGTATTTGTGACAAAAAATATTGAAAATTAGAAAGTGATTTATAAGCGTTATTATTAGGCATGGCCTATTTATACTTACGAACGAAAGTTACTTCATCATCAAGACAATTTTATGAAGATAAACTTTGCTCTTTATAGCATGTTATTTAGACGCATAGTTTAAGAGATAATGTAAAATTAAAATAATTCAATACTTGGCTGGGCGCGCGAACGACGCATAAACTATGAGAACTGCGAGAAGCCAGTATTGAAAGCTTCTATGAGCGAGGTTAGTTCAATCATTATAGCTAAAATAAATTAACAACTAATTGAGTACTTTTATGACAATGATTAGTTACATCTTTATTTCTGAACTCTTTCATTTCACGTTGCTATGGTATTTTGAAATTTTGATTGATTAATAAGTATAAAAGTTTGATAGCAAATTTATTAAGAATCATTTCATGCCTACACACTTTTCATGTATCGTGTACGGTTCGGGACACTTTCTAGGACGTGGGTGGTGGGGGGGGGGGGGGGGGTGGGGGGGCGAAGGATGCTCAACCGAGGGGGAGGGAAAGTGGATAAAACCTAACTTCGCTCTACATCATACATAATATTTTTTTTATAGGATAAGGGTGACAAACGAGCACACAGTCCACCTGATGGTAAATGGTTGCTGCGGCCCATAGACAACTACATCTATCCTCGTTTGTGAATCAAAATGCAGATGCGTTGTCACCCGTGAGGACTAAGATGGAATGCCTCATTTCCAGTAAAAAGGGCCTCCGGCCACCTGTACTCACCAAGCGAAACGCAGAGGTAAACCTCTACTTCACGCTGGTATTCTGTGTGGCCGTGGTACACCCCGGTTCGAGCCGGCCCATCCGTGCGACAGCAAAAGCTGCCGCGTGGCTCTACCACTGTTAAATATGCCGACAGATAAAAGTACTCCATTAATTATGCCAATTTTTCCAAACATTGCTATCAAATAAAATATTTAATTGCAATTATAAAATGCTTGATCTAGGTCATGTCGCGCACCACCGACACGTGATGACGCGGGTGAAACCGCAGGGCACATCTAGTTTACTATAAGTATATGTATTGACGTTGTGTTGACCTTAAGCACATGAACTAGGTACATACAATAATTTAAGCTTGAACTAG